ATTTTGAATAAATAACATGTAAACCCTTACATTGCACCTTATCGTTCAGCTGGTGAACTGTATTTCTGTTCAATTTATGAGGTAAACGTATACGTGAATCGCTTTTTTGTAACTAAATAAATTAATATCTTTAACCGGGAACGATAAATTACACAATATCTATGACTGCTTAGTACAACTGTAATCGGCTTCGTATATTTTCGCGACCGCGTAAGACAATACGAGCATGGATCGGAAACTCGGCCTTTCCGACCATGATTAACAGCTTGTCCACAGCGCGAAGCGGAAACCAGAGCTTTCCGCCTGCCACACATACAAAGTAATGTCTTCGGGAACATGGATCGGAAACCCGGCCTTACCGACCTTGATCAACAGCCTGTCCGCAGCGCGGAGCGGAAACTAGGTCTTTCCGCCCGCCGCACACAAAAGTAGACTGAAGACTAGGCCTCGCCAGCTACCAAACCTGCTATTTTATGTTGTTATTAATATTATTATTATTGTTATAAATTACTATGTATCTAACTGTTCTATTCTCATTTGTCTATAAGAAACCATTTTTCTGTAGACCAAATAAATAAATAAATAAATAAATTTGGAATGAACTGTTCGCTTTTGTTCGAGCATGCCTTATGAAGGGACAAATTTTTCACCTTTATGCCCGAACGGGTATAAAAGCGACTAGTCAATTTAAAAAATTTGGGCCAAGCTGCGGCTCGAACCGGGGTTCACAGTTTTGTTAAGCGAATAATCTCTCTCTCTGTGCCAACGCCGCACGTAAAATTTCGCTGACTACGTGCATATCATTAAATCGTTAATAGTATCGGTTAGCGATGAGTCGGGACTAATTGATCTCCAATTATACCCGTAAGGGATGAGTCGACATTAATTGATCTCCAATAATACCCGTATGAGCCTAGTTGGGACTAATTAATGCCCAATTTTACCCGATTGAGAGTAATCTCGGAATGCTCTCTTTAGAGATTAGTCTTGGAGTTTTTTGCATATGTATAAATACACATTGGCCCGTAGTCATAGTCAAAATAAAGTCGACTTTAAAGTTAGTTGCAGCTTTTTGACATAATTTTCAATGGGATATCTGTCAAAAAAGCTGCAACTAACTTTAAAGTCGACTTTATTTTGACTATGACTACGGGCCATTATTTATCTACGTCTACTATTGCGCACACTCTTGTAGGAAAACAAAATGAAATAAGGAAAATAACAACTTTTACACATGTGCCTCAAGCGTGCGCTCAGCTTTCCTCCTTCTGTTTATATTTACTTAATTTTTTTTTTTTTGTATGTATCAGTTTACTATTTTTCCACGATAAACCGGGAAATGCCGTAGTTGGGGGAGTTTGCTTAGCACAGAGAGAAGAAAGTGGGAGAGCATTTGTTGTCAAATCAAATTTGATTCAGCGTATTGGAATTAGTAGTAATCGTCGAGAAAGAGAGAATTGGAGTGAATGTAAACAAAATGTTTTTTAGCTTATCTAACGCTCTCAGCACTGACGTTGAAACCAGGGTTGCCACTGACGAAAAAAAATATTTACCATCCGCTTGAGAAAAATCTACCAAATCTAGGAAATATCTACCAATACATTTTTTAAAGTTATTTTAATAAAAACAATAGTTTTGTTATTTTTTATTTATTTTAATTAAAACTATTGTTTTTAAATTTTTTTTAGTTATTTCAATAAGAATTAAAATTGTTTTTAAGGAACTTTTTATTTAACTAATTATAAGGTATTTGAGTGATATTATTGGCATATTCTCAGTTTCCTTCAACCAAAAGCGGAAGTGATGAAACTAGAGGCAACAACGAAACTTCATAATTTGAAAAACTTCAACTCGAGTTATTATAGACAAATACAGTGACTCAAAAAAGCACTTGGTGATTTTTTTATTATTCGCAATGTTTTTCAAGTAAAAATTTTTTGTTGCTTTAACTAAATCCATAAAAATTATACTATATAAAATTATACACTATTTATAACATTTAGAAAGATTCAAAAAAATTTCGTCCAAATCTCGAATTTTTTACTCCGAATTTTTAGAACAATTTAAGGTACCAAGTTTTAAAGCAAATACTGCTTAAGTATAGCTCATAATGTGCTTCCCGTGGATTTTTTTTTAATTTTTTTGCCGCCAGTCTTTTGTTTTTTTTATTTAACAATTTCTATTGATAAAAAATGGCGTTGATTTATTTTTTTTGCGAATCATAGTGCGTCTTACATAACTGTCAATTTTTTCTTTATATGTATTTAAATAATCATTTAAGACATTTAGGCAATCAAAAGCTCCTCGGGATTCCAGTAAAATGAGTTTTGAATGGAGCACGACATGTTCGCCTTATATCGATATACATTTATACGTATGTAAGTATGTATATAAAAAGTATGCAAAGAAATGTATAATATAAAGATAACTACGAAAAAGAAATCGGGAACGAAAAGTTCAACAAAAACNATCAAAAGCTCCTCGGGATTCCAGTAAAATGAGTTTTGAATGGAGCACGACATGTTCGCCTTATATCGATATACATTTATACGTATGTAAGTATGTATATAAAAAGTATGCAAAGAAATGTATAATATAAAGATAACTACGAAAAAGAAATCGGGAACGAAAAGTTCAACAAAAACCTACCAAAATGAAAAAAAAATTTACCTTTTTACCAACCCAAATTTTTTCTACCAATTTTGGTAACAATATACCAAAGTGACAACCCTGGTTGAAACACCGTTAGGAGTGCCGCAAGCATGATTGCTGCTCACTTGTGTTGTTGCTGAAAATGTGGTGATGGTGGTGACTGTGCTGCTGTGTTGTGTTGACATCGCTCGACGGTGGTGAGCGCAGGATTTTCCACGCGCATACAGTAGATATGTATGAATATCGCTCAGCTTCGCTCGTTTAGCAGCTTGCTCATTTGCTTCATTGTGTCGATTGCGTTGCTCGTGACAGGACGATTCCGGATTTACTAGCGGCAAAGTGCACTGTGGTGTATTAGCAGTGCAAAAAAGATTCAATAAAATGGTGTGAGTGTGAGATGTATTACCAAAAGCTGTGCAGGGGGGGCATTTTTAACTTTGTAAAATTGCAAAAATTTATAAAATCTAGTCAATTTTCGGTAGTGTGTGTAAGAAAAGTTTACTAAAAAAGTCGGAAAAAGTGTTTTCCAAGAAGAAAATCGGCATTTGAAAATTTGGGAGCAACGCAAGCTAATGCAAGTGGTTTTCGCTTATAGCCAATTTTAAATTTTTTGTGTGTGTACCTAGAATAAGGCCGAAAGAAAACTTCAGTACGACACCAGTGCGTGTATGTGTGCGTGTGTACGAGAGGAAGTACATACATATGGATTGGTGGGTGCATATTTTACAATGAATGTATACCAGTATTAGTGTACTAAAGAGTAAAAAATGCTATTCTAAGCCTAAGAAATAAATGGCAATGCTAAAAAATTATAAATTATTTATTTGCAGTGAAAGTGTTTTGGTAACTTGAAATTGTGCCGTTTTATTAAACAAAAGGAATTAATATACAGTTCACACAGGCAAACGTTCATCGCAAAAGTGGTTTTTTGATACACACACAACACACTCCTAGTGGATTAAAACTCAAAATCAATAATTCGTTTTAGGCACCTGAATGAGGATATGTGTAAAACTAAAAGGATAAGTAAGTAAGAAATGTAGTAATTTACAATCGGCCTTATTACGAATTCCAAGTGAACAGATAGGTACCTATTCGCAATTATTATAAAAAAAAAAACAAAACAATTGTTCTCAATTTCTTTTTGTTTATTTCTGTTAAATAGTGGAAAAGTTTATTCACATAGAAATGACGATAAGGCTGAATAGTTTCTAACTAAAGTGGTTGGCTAGGCAAAGTGAATAGTAAAATACCTTTTCATATAGTGAGCGTGAAGGTGGCGAGCGGCATTTGGGGTGGTGCTGTCATTGTTGCACGCGCAAGTGAACTAATTGTAATGCCGAAAAATGTCTGCACTTTTTTGTAATTTCACGTCTAGCTGCAATATATGTACATAGGTAAATTTAAAGATTTTCTTTCAAACACTAAATTTTCTTGAATTCCAGGCTTTTTCGCCGAGGTTAACACACCTTAGACTTATACATACAAGGCACACACCTCACTTACCCTTATTCGTTCGCACTTATGTACATATATACAATTCACTCATTTCGCTCGTTCGCTTTCACGGCGAAGAGTATTTCCAGTGTAGTCTGCTTTTAGGCGATTTGAGGCATTTACAGCATAGTATGGACATCCATACATACTACATTTGCAATTGTTGTAATAACAAAAAACACTTTTGCAGAGGGAAATCGATCGATTGTTTCTAACACATTCGTACCAGTGATTAGTGATATTTCACTATCGGTATTTTTTTTACTTTGAATTAAAAACCTCTTATATATAGCAACAGCTATTGCTAGTCCAAGGAAGCAGTGATTAGCGATTTTTTGCTTTTACGTTTTTTGGTTGTGAATTTTTTGTTAGTGCTGAATTTTCCACCTTTTTTAGTTTGTGTTGTTTTTATGTTTCTACTGAAAATTTTGATGGTCTTTTTAAATTTTTCTAAATTTTGTACAAAATAGAAAACTCGGATAAACCTTTATTTATGATATGATATTAAGGGTATTCATCAAATCTATTAATGCATTGTAAACCGTATAAACTTATCATTGTTAAAACTTTGTAAATTAACCGTCACAACTAGTATGGAAACTCGCTTACACATTTCAGATACATTTCTTATATCTCTTGATAAACTGAAGTCAATGCAAATCTGTCGCAACTCTGTCGCAAGTGTAAACGAAAATATAATATGGGGCGTTCATGTAACAGAGCGCTTAAATCTATAAGAATAAACAAACAAATAAACCGACAAATTTTTATTCCTACCAAAATTTTTCACCATAACCGACCAAAACCTACCAAATTTTTTTTTGAGTTTTAATATATGTTTTTTTCATTGTCAAATTTATTAAATATTAAAAACATAGCTAACACACATTTAGTAAAACTAAAACACAGCTAGTAATAAAAACACAAATTAACTGCGTATAACGATTCATTTTACTGTACAGACTTATCCAAATGTATGTCTCTTTACACATACATCCATACATGTCGTAACTAGATACGAATAAAGACGCTAGCTCAAAAGTTGACAGCGAAAAAAGACGCGGAAAACAAATTTCGGCATAGAAAGACTCTTAACATAGGTGAAGGCAAAGAAATCCTCGTTAACCTCTTTGACGGCGAAGCAACCCCCTTAAACTTATGTTCTCGATCAACTGTATTTGCGAGTATAGCAGTATACGCATTCCCCAAAGAGTTTTTCCGGAATGATGTTGAATCCATGTTTAAGCGTCTTTTTTCGCAAATCTGTTTCAAGTGTCCTTTTTCGTCGTCAAAACACCCGAGCATTTTTATTCGTGTCTAGTGACGATATTATTATCGTTCTCCAAGGTGTATGAATCTACGATTCATGCTTCGTGGACAGGCACATTGAATAACTCATTGAGAGGGGAGACTAGTATGTTTGCAAAATATTTATTACATCGAAAAGGTGGGTAGGCACTGTGACCAATGGCAAAGTTCGTTTACCACCTATGCATGGTTGTAAGCCATGTAGAGTCCGCAAAATTCTCCGGAAGCAGTGTCCGGAGGATGCATCCGACTAGGCAGAGCATACTTTGAAGTGCCATATAATTGAAACTTAAGAAAGTTCAATTACATGGCAGTTGAGAAGTGCATGTGCAAACATTTCATAAATTGCATAAGGGAAATTTTGGACATGCCGCAGTACTTACCACGAATTTTGGCGCCCGGTGTTAGCAGTCGCGCCTAAACGCACATACACAATATACTCTGGGGTTTCCTTCACCAGCCTACAAAGCCTACAGATCGTCTCTACAGAAAGACCAAGTTAATTCAAACGGTACGTTAACTTGTAGTGTTCAGGTTGCCAGAAGAGTTCTAAGTTCAAGGTGTCTTTCGGAGTTCCTCCTGGAAAGAGTTATGAATGTCTTTCATTGTCTTTTTCCCTTTGACTCCGCCAGGGGGCAGCAATTTGAGATTATTCTCAGCCAGCTAATAAGTAGGTCTGCAGTGCATCCTTTAGATGTACCGCAGAGAGGTTCGGGATCATGCAAACGCATTTGGGCTCCATGCTTTCCGAGATAGTCAGCCCTTTTGTTGCCTTCAAACCCCTCATGTCCCTCAACGCTCAAGAGTGTTGCGCTATTGTGGGCTCCCAGTTGGCTAAAGTGTTTACAAGCATTGATGTCGTTTTAAAAGAATCGAAGGCCTTTAACGCTTCCTGAATATCCGACTTCGATTGCGAAGACCTCCGCCAGGAATATGGTTGGGTACGAGTCCATTGGCAGACTTTTCTGGAATATTGGTCCTTGTTCGCCATAAATTATATCGCTACCTAGAGGTGAAAAGGTGCCGAGCCCATTTTTTCCGCAATGTTTAGTTTTTGATGCAAAATGGTAAGTATAGGGTTGCCAACCGTACTAAAATATATAGTATCGTACTATTTTTTGGGTCTGCGTACCATATACCGCTGGAAAAAAATATAGTTGCAAAAATACTATTTTTCTTCAATTATAAATATAAATATGTTTCAGTTATTTGTAAGAAAGGGATGTTTTAAAATGGATGACATTATACTGAAATATTAATACTAAAATAAATATACTTTAAAACAAAGGGTCCACAGATCAAAAATGGCAATATTTTTAAAAATACTTAGAAAGATTTACCAAATTTACATAAAATTATTTCGCTTATGCTCTCTATTCCTGCAACTTCGGCACTCACAGAAAGAGTTTTTTCTATTAAGATTTTAAAATGGTGAGATGAGAGAAATAAAGCGAATATATCACTAATACAAAATTAACTTTTGATTTATATTAATTTAAATATTGATAGCGATAAAGCATATGATACTTTCAAAGAAATATGTTTTTTTAAAGCGGAAATGCATAAGAAAGAAAAAAGATGTACACTTAGAAAGCATTTTTACTTTTTCTTTAAAAAAATACTATATGTATTTGAAGTACTATACTATATTTTTTCTGAGTTTTTTGAAAAAGTACTATAAATTTCTTAGAAATTGTTGGCAACCCTAGGCAACCCGAAACTACATCGATTTTTTGTCTCGCCTGAAGTTTTAAAAAAATCGATTTGGCACCTTTTCACCCTTAGGTGACGATATACATATGGATGTTCGTATTGTAGATTGGCAATAATTTGGGTATACGTTTGTAAGTACTTTATTCGCCACTCGACTCACACACCTGCTCTCTGAGAGCACTCTTCAACAATCCGACATAAGCGAGCAGTGGAACCACATTTCCCGATCATTAAGTACCGCCGCCGAAGAAGTAGTTGGATTTCAGCGAGCCCGAAAGAACAACTGGTACGATGAGGAATGTCAAGAAGCCGCAGAGAAAAAAGACCCCGCCTATAGGGCCACGCTGCGATCAGGCGCAACGCGAGCCATGTTGGGCGGTTATAGGGAACAGAAGAAGGAGGCGAGACGTATTTGCCGCACTAAGAAGAGGGTGGCGGAAATATGTGAGTGCAAAGAGCTTGAAATGCTAGCCGACAGGAAAAACACCCGAAAATTTTACCAGATTAGGCGACTTACGGAAGGTTTCAAGACCAGGGCGAATTCCTGTAAGAACAACAATGGCGACCAAGTGACCGATGTCTAGAAAGTACTTAAATTATGAAGGGAACACTTTTTTACCCTACTGAATGGTAGCAGCGCTGAAATTAGTGGAGAAGGCGAACCCGATCCCTCAGTCGATGACGATGGAGTCGATGTTCCACCACCTGACTATGACGAGGTACGAATAGCGATAGCGCGCTTGAAAAACAACAAAGCTGCTGGAGTTGCATCAACTCTTATGCAGAATATGGTCAGATGAACGCATGCCCGATGACTGGAATTTAAGTGTGCTCTGCCCAATCCAAAAGAAAGGCGATCCCGCCATTCGCGCCAACAACCGCGGGATAAGTTCTTATCGAGTGTATTGTGCGAAAGACTGAAGCCCACCGTCAACGCACTGATTGGACCTTATCAGTGTGACTTAAGTCCTAGCAAATCCACCATAGACCAGGTATTCACAATATGCCAAATCTTGGAAAAGACCCGCGAGAATACGATCGACACACACCATCTATTTGTCGATTTCAAAGCCGCTTTTGACAGCATGAAGAGAAGTTGTCTTTATGCCGCGATGTCTCAATTTGGTATCCCCGCGAAATTAATACGGCTGTGTAAAATGACATTGAGCAATACCACCAGCTCCCTCAGAATAGGGAAGGACCTCTCCAAGCCGTTTGATACCAAACGAGGTTTCAGACAAGGGGACTCCCTTTCGTGTGATTTCTTTAATCTTATGTTGGAGAAGATAATAAGAGCCGCAGAACTGAACCGCTCAGGCACAATACTTTATAAGAGCGTACAATTGCTGGCGTATGCCGACGACATCGATATTATCGGTAAAAACAAGGGCTACGTCTGTTCTGCCTTCTCGGGATTGGATAGAGAAGCAAAGCGAATGGGTCTGGTGGTGAACGAGGGCAACACGAAGTATCTCCTGTCATCACACAAACAGTCAGAGCATACGCGT